TGTCTCTTAAAAATAATCAATTCTGAACCCATTAATCAAGGAGAGCGCCTATAAATATTTGATGAAATCTTTCCACTGTCTTGTTGTGTCGAATATATGTACGGTGTCTCTTTGGGCAACAATGCATACACCTAGTGGATTCTGCGCTCTTTGTGTGCCCAATGAACGGCTCTTTCATTTTTTTAGTGAGATTGTGTTTCATATTCTTATTAGGCTAATCATTGATCTACAAAATAAAAATAAATTCAATTTGAAAGGATGAAGTTTGACTAAACTATACTTCTTTTATCACTTATAGTGCCAAATCCTGATCGAAAATCATCATTTTTTTGGAAACTTTATTGCTTATCGTTGGGTCTGTAACTGGGCTTGTCGATGATCTTCAACCATGTAACTCTTCACAGAAAGAGATCACTTTTCATTTACGTATTATGCGATTATGGCGTGTAGATAACTGCGCCCGACTCTAATCTCACTGCACAGAAGAGTACAAAGTATAGCACATACAAAGTATAGCTACACTTTGTATTGTACTTTGTACACACTAGTGTATCTGACTGATGCAACCATCATACAGAAAAAGAAGAAAAAACATCCGGTAGTTTCTACCATTTAACACATGACGATTTAAAAAGTGAAGTTACAGAGAATGCGTTTATAGGAGAGTTTTCGATTAGAACAATTTTTGAAGTCCTTGTCCTAGATTCGATCTGCCGACTTTCATACGCTGCACTTGTCCAACTATGCAGTTCCCATTGCACTAATTTGTGCAAAACGAAACTACGAATTATGATAGTACATTCATATGAAGACCGTACATTTACATATATATTTAAATAGTCTTTACAAGTGATGAATGTATTACCATAACTCGTGGTTTTCTTTTGCACAAATTAGTGTAATGGGAAAATACGTAGTTGAAGAAGTACAGTGTATGAAAGTCGACAGATCTAATCCAGGAGAAGGACTTCAAAAATTGTTCTAAGAGAATCAATATTTATGACTTCTCTGTCTTTCTTCGACAACAAATTTCAGACGTGATATTCACTTAAGAAAGCACTAACACTACCTTTTTGGAAGCATTTCATTAGATACATATTTAGGCCACAGTGCCTGCTCAAGTGCAAGAATACACTCCTGCTCTGCGCACGTAGAGAATGTCGGCTAAAATGTCTCCACCAGCCTACCCTGTGGGTGATAAAAGCGAGGCCAGCACACAGTGAAATCGCTTCTCACGGCTGAATTAGGAACGATGGTAACTTTGACATCTGAACGAAACGCCTTTCGCCGTATTAAAATGTTAACATCATTTCACGAAGGCGAAAAGAAAAGTGTTGCATATTACACTTTCACAATAAAACAAACACACCCGAGTAGATTAGCAACACTCAAAACAAGAGAGGGGAAAAGCGCATCAATGCATGAGAAAAAAAAATGTCATATTCTGCTTAATGCAGTGAAAGAAAAACTGTCCACTCGGAGAGTTCCATTCGTCTTATGAATAGTTTTACATGCTTCTCCGATCGCATTTAGACGATAATACAACTTCGTGTTGTTTCCATTAATCTGTTTCTATTCAACTAATCTCTTTTTCACCTAATGTTCTGTGACCGACTCCGACACTCACCATAGTGCCATGGATCTTGGTTACAGTGTAGTGGTGACGATTCATGAAAACAATAGTAATATAGGCAAAGTGAAACAGGCGTAACAGGCAAAAATTTGACATATGGTTTTTATTTGATTTGCAGATTCAGATTTTCAGAAATATATAATACAGTAATAAGAATATGAAATACATAAGATAGATCACTGAGCTTTTGGTACAGAGAATTCACGCAAGTTTAAAATAAACTTGAATAAATTAAAAAGAATGTGAGTGTCGAATTAATCAAGGACCGGCGACTCCGAAAAGTCAGCTCCATAGCTTGCTTCAGGCTCAAGAGGAAAATAGTCGATGATCGCGGCTCACGTTTCCTGTTCGTAGGTAATGTCTATTTGAATATGAAAATAGTTGGAGTTGAGCAATCACTGTTACAGAACGGAAAAAAACAAAATAGATGTAGATTGTTTTTTCCTCGTTTTTTGTGATTATTGTGCAATACAGTCAACCTGCATGTTCATTTTTAAATTAATGTATTTTTATACGTGTTTAATGTACTGCGCACCGTTAGTACTTAATGTACTGATTTGATGCAGTGGTTGGACAAAACTCCTTCTGAATTACTTAGCCGCAAAAGAATCTTGGCTTCATTTACGATGGTTTGCGAGAAAATATAACTTTACTGTTGAGTGTCGTCCTTAAAGAAGCGCAGAATTTTGAACTGTACTTTTTCAACGATGACGATGAGACACGGTCACAAAACTGGTTGTGTGCACGCATAATCACATGAATATGTCGTACATTTAAATGGAATTCAAATAAAACAATATTGCGAATTCGATTCTTGCATATCAAGCTAAGTATAACTATGTCCTTTAGTCTTGATTAAGGTAGTACAGTTGTTTATAATATGGCTAAGATATTTTCATAGGTTATCTGTAATTTAAACCGACAAAATCTAAGAAATCTAGCAATTTTCTAATCTCTTTTAATCAAAGAAAAACCGTGACACCAAGCTATCACATCTTGTAGACCAAAAGGTTTTCTACGAAGTGATATACTTGTTCAATTTCCCGCAGCTCATCTTCACTGTTTTAGATTACACGCTTTTTAGAGAGTCCCAAAATCGATTTTTTGGGCTGTTTGTACAACAGCTGTAGTCTCAACAGTTCTAGTACAAAATTAACGATTTTCGAAGCCATTATATTGTGAGCCTATGAAAGGGCTAATCTATGGAAAACTTAAAATTCAATAAGTCGGGAATGAAATGAGTTGTAAAGTTGAAACTTTGTATGAATATCACAGATATATAGAACAGCCATAGAAAGAAAGTTGTGCTCTTAACTATTTGTCTGGACGGAGATATGAATTTTTCTATTTTTTCTATTTTTCGTTGGGAAAAATAGAAAAATGCCTATAACTTTTGAAGGAAGAGCCATCGGCCCGAATCCTTTTTAGCCTTTTATAACGTCGATATCCTCTATCGATCGATGTATGAATGAATGAAAGTGGAGTGGTACATGTTCATAGGTTTCCTAGTTAGCTTTCCATAGGTATCAAAAGCCCTTATTGGAGGCTTCCGGGTTTGTCACTATATGAAGCGCTTAAAAGCATTTTATATAGTAACAAACTCGAAACCCTTTCTAAGTTTCCTAGAATACGGTTTTATCTCAGAGAGTAGAACAATCAGAATACCATATATAATATGGAAAATATTTAAAATTCGAGCAGATTTAAACTGACCTAGACTATATTAAAATTCTAATCTACACGAATGCGGTTTTCAACAGATTTTTGAATTCTGTCTCAAAAACAAGCAGCGCTACCAGATTCACAATGATCGGTTATGTATGTTCTATACCATTTCAGCTTTAAAGATCATTGTGAGAATTGTCAATCTGACACTAAATTATCAGACAGCCTTAACCAACTCTCCCGGCTTCCAAAAAAGTTTTAACACTAATTTACAGATTTTCTCCACTTATCTGTAATCAAAATATGTGACTCATCAATTCATGTTTATTCTGCTAGATGTCGAAAGTATTTCTTATAGAAGTAGCAATAGAACAGATCAAATGGCAAGGAGACAATCACTATGCATAACGACCGCTGTTCATCGGTCCAAAAGAAAAGTTTAAAAAAACGATTACTTTGTTTGAGGATGAAAAAGGACAGACAAACACACGCGCACAAACCACTTTCCTGTATAAAGAAGAATAAAACATCGTTGAATACAACTCGCTACGTGAAAGACGTGGTCAATGAGTTGATTCACCAGTTTGTAAAGTACATTCATGACAATGACTAGATTGATCAGTTTCACTATATCTCATGTAGGGATGACCTAGAATAAGAAAAAGCTGTGACTTTGAAACTTACACGCGTGTTAGAATAGAAAAATGTGAACAAATTACCATTCGAACAAAGGAACAATTTGTGTCCATCTGTTTCACTAACAATTTGAATCTGCTGATCTTTTGTTGTGCAAAGTTCAGATAAATTCAATACATTTTTAATCTGTTCGTACAGCATATCAAATCTTTGACAGTTTTTCATTATAAAAGGGCGATATTTCGATGTTAATATTTTTAATTCATTTAATATTGTCTTTTGTTCACTACCAACATTGACTTGTATTTTCTTAACTTTTATCTCATCTATTAACGAAAGAAAAAATAAATATAACGTTGAATTCTATATAATTCTAGTTTAATATCATTTTTTTGCTGTGGAGAATAACAACAGTTTTGTTCATCCACATAAAAACTAATACGTTGTAAATAATCATTTATTTGTTGATATCTATCATCAACTTCCGAAAATTGTTGTTTAATATTCAGTGATAAATGATTAATCTCTTTCAAAAATATAAATGTATTTTCAATATAATTTAAGTGACCTAAAGTCATTTCAGTTTGATTAAGTAATAATGCTAGTAGATTTTCAAATAATGTAGTATTATTGTTAGATTTGATATACGAAGAAAGTTTACTAGTTAATTTTTTTTGCCGTTGTGCTATTACTGTTGTTATCAATACGTATTGTTGATTCAATTTCATTTTTTCAATCCATAATTGAATTTCATTTACAATTGAATTATATCTTGCATAACGACATATTGGACTTTTGCATTTTGGACATAATGGTAATTGAATTGAATTATAATGTTTTTGTTTTGCAGCAAAATCTTTCATATAATAATCGAAACCATTCACTTCGATAATATGAGAACAGTCAGGTAATTGAACAAAATGGGCATTTTTTGGTTTATTTTCATTTCAATAATATACTCCATGAATTTGATAAACATCACATATACGACATAATGTTGGACATGATTCACCACAAAGACCAATGCCTATTTTAGAAAAATCTTTTCTATTAGGGGTTAAAATGAAACAAATCAACTTACGTTGATGGTTACATTTCAATAATTTTTGACATATATTTTTACACGGTTTACGGTCACATGGTTCTGAACATAATTTTGTACATTTCTGATGTTCACAAGACCACGTACAAACTTCTTTGCAAGTATTACACACTTCTGAACATAATCTTGTACATCTCGAATGTGGACAGCGATTTTCGTACGGAAGCATACATGGTAGACAAGTTTCTCGACAGAGTCCAGAATAAACCTGTGCAGAGAGCGCAAGGTAAAGAAAAATAATTCGGACAAACGTCAGTTACTTACATGACCACAAATTGATGTTTTTTCATATGTTTCTTGGCATTGCAAATGCAACTGACCATGTTGACATAAATCGCATGTACCCCTACATTTATGACCACATAACAAGACTTGTTTACACACTTCACTGAGTCATATGCTTCTGTTTGTTTAATTTGGCATAAAACATGAGCAGAATAACCACATAGTAACTGCACAGGAAACATTTTTTTACAATCTTTAGTTGTTGATACTTTTGAGCATTCAACTTTAATTTCATGTTGGCATTCTGATATAGTTTTATCAACAATGACCATACATTGACCATGTTCCGTAGGATATAATGTATGACAATTAGTCTGACATTTATGTTTACAGGTTATCAATGGTTCATCACACATATTTGAACATCAAATTGTTTGATGTGTTAAATCAAAATTATGACACGATAATACACATTGATGACCACATAATAGACGACTTTCACAATGTTTTTGACAACCGCCTAAAACAAAATTATCCACATTAATTTCATTTTTTTTTTCGTTTATAGTCACATCTACCGTTTGGAAGCTTTGAAAATGATTCTGGTGTACTGACAACAAATGGTTTCTTCGAAGGACAAATACAACAAAGATTTAAACCTAGAGATACAAATACAAAGGACAGAATGATAAACAGTTCACATGAAACTCTCATCGAAAAACTTACCTTTTCCAACTGCTTTCATTCCTTCAAATGTCTGTGCCAAATTTTTCCTATATGTTGAAATTATTATGGACTTCGAATGACGTTCAGTTAACAAAAATTTTGTTTTTTCTTGAAATGTCAATTTTTCAGAAAACTAGTATTTTTTAAAAGGCCTTACCACAGATTGCGACTCAACGGTCCACGATGGAGAAAAATGTTTGATGATAAAACTGTTCCTTAGGGTCTAATAGGGTAATACTGTAATAATTTTTTCAGCATAACGGAAAAAGTCTATTAATTAAAAAATGAGTACATTTTATGGCGGTCCGCCACACTTTTTCTTGTATTACTTTACTGGAAAGTAATACAAGAAAAAGTTTTTTTGAAAAGAATGTTAAAGATTCCTAGCGTGTTCTCGGATGGGTATTTGTACCACTGGAAATCAAGGTATAGCCTGACTCTCGTTTTAAACAGAACACTATGGACTGTCTATCCATGAAGAAAAATATAAATGTCTGTACTTGAAGTTCTTGAGCTGGTTTTCTAAAGATCTCTTCGGAAACCTACTTTAAAAAAAGTTTTGAATTAATGTCTGTTACAAAAAGATGCTTCAACGTCTCTTCTTTTGAATGATGAAAACACGTAGGGGACGTTAACAGCAGACTTCTATATTTTCGCCTAATATTTTTATTAATGATTGTGCCAATTTTGCTGTTGAGTGTGCCAGACAGAACCCAATGAGCTCTATTGGATGACGAAATTAGTTTTCAGAAATGTTGTTTGTTAAATTTAAAACTACAAAATGCTAATTCTTGATTTTTCGAATAGTATATTCACTTTTTAGGTATATTATTCCATCCAGTTGCTACCAGCATTTTATGAGTTCTATCCTTGGAAGCACATGCTAAAGTTGATCTTTTGACCTAATATTCAGAACGAAAACTGTACAAATTCTAAACATAAATGTGCCAGGTAGAACTCGACAAGCTCTATCGAATGATATATTCAATGTTTCATTATATTGTTTCCTTCAATTATTGCAAGCTCTTTATTAGTTTTATCCTCATTCATAGTTTATCACAAACAACTCAATGTATATCTGTTGTATCGAAAATGATTTGCGAATGTTAATTGTACGGCCACTTTCATATTCGAAAGTGAGGGATATATTTAGTATTGAAGAACGTTTATTCAATACACCTGCACTCGATTTTTTGACTAAGTTTTTCGATGAGACAAAAGCTCAAAGTTTTGTATTTTCATCTAATATTTTTATTGACGGTCGTGCCACCACAGCTAATATTTTCTTTTAAAAGTGGTTTGAACAAAAAATCATTTTGGTCATATGACAGCCTCTGAAGAGAATGCTTAACATTGTCAAAAAATCTCTCTTAAAAATTCAACAAAAAGACCACAAGAAATAAAACAAAGATATAGAGCATTGGTACTTTACCCATGTGCTTGCTATGCATGGGTAATTTTCTGGGAAGAAAATTCTGTTACTATTATTTTAAATAAAATACTAAATAGTATATCAATATTAGTTTTAATTTTAGTTTAGTTTAACCAATCTGAAACTCGACTTGATACAATATTAATTTAGTTTAGTTTTACAACTAGTCAGTAAAGTAATATATGAATAATACTGTGCATCTAAGACAAGTAACAAAATCCCTTAAAGATATGAAAACATGAGCGCGCTTGATTTTTGATGGTCCTCCAGGCTATTTTTAGCTATGTTTTCCCCATTTTTGTTGATCCCAGTGCACATTTTCGGGCTCCGCACCTCTCGAAACATATGAATCAACTGAGATCCCAATACCTTATCTCTGGTTCCTGAGATATAGGTCTTTGAAATCCCCGATTTTTCAGAAAACCTACCACCTGCAAAGTTCCTCGAAAATTTTCTTTAAACATACCATTAGACAGAGCGTTCATTTCTCTACAAAATGACATATCTTCCACGTTTACGTTGCTTAGCCAAATAAAACTGCATCAAAAACTCGAAAACACCTCAGTCACGGCTAAAATATGTGTGATTTCGCTGAGATTGTTGTACAACAATTCTGTATTGACTCCGACTCTATCATTCTTTTAACGTATCCCATTTGACGTAATCATCCTCCTGGGAAAGTATGTTAGTAGGAGTGTGAATCTTCTAAACGTTCACTCAACATCGAAAACTGTATACCTTCTGTAGATGGCTAATCTCAATATGTAAAGAGCTAAGTGTGTTAAAAAGATTTCTTATTTTCATTTTTCTCCCGAATTACTGCATCGCATGAACCAATAATTCCAGAATCATGATCATCCACTTCGAAAGTATATATGTTGTCATCTTCAGCAAAAACGGATAGAAAAAAAATGGAAAAAAACATCGCCATATGGTAGATTTGAACAACCGATTGAGCTACTTGAGGTATTTCCAGCAAAGATTGTTTAGACAAGTAGCCCATTATCATTGATCTCAGCGCGAAAAGCTAGACAGTCACTTCTCACTGTGTACTTTACACACCTACACTGTGCATTCCAGACTGTCACTGAGAATCGACGTTGCATCACTTTATGTGTATCATTTACACACTATTTTTTACAGTACAGAATAACCGAAAATGGAACAATCATTCTTGAGCAGTGCAAAATTTGCAAGAACTTGGTGAATCTTTAATTTTTATATGTATACATTTCATGACAGCGTTCTAGGAGAGACTATAGCCTACAGTCCGAAGAAAATTTTCGTTTTTCGTTTTGAAATTAAGGTTAAAAAATCTAAAGTATTGTCATTATCGAATCACGCCTTTTCAAATGATCAAATTGTCATGCGGCGATTTCCCATGAACTAAACGATAGAAAGTAGATCCCTTTAGATAACGGCCACGAAGAGTCAGAGTACGAATATCAGTGACATCTAGGCTCTTCTTATTAGCTGGAAAATTTTCTCTATTTTTATATCATAAGAGATGTGCCGGGTACGAGGAGAGGAACCAGCGTATTCCTACTGTGAAAATCAGAAAGCCGGCATCCAATTGTCCCAGTGCAGTGCTTTTCACACAGACTCCAGAAGCCATATGTTCGGTAGAAAATTTCGTGCAAGAGCATTAATTATAAAAACAAACTTAAATTCTACTATTTTGTCCGTTAAAAAAAGAATTATCCAAGGCCACTTTTTCACCAAAGTATTTTATTTGATTTTTAAAAATTCTATTGAACTCAATGATGTGGTGCAGATAAAATAGAGTATATATTGATGTTCTGAGATAGTCTGGATCGGTTGTGCTTACCACAGCTAAGGGAATATCGATTCTGGGACTCCCAGCAAGTCCAGTGCCACACCTTAATTATGAAAGATTGCGAGATTTCAGTTTGAAGAGAAGACTTTCTTCTATCTACTGATGTAAAAAAATCAATACTTCGTTATTTTAAATTTTACCGTTATGCACGATTTTTTCAGAAATCTCTTGAAAGACATGTTTTAGAAAAACTTTCTAAAAGAGTATCCGCTTGTAAAAATGTGCTCATAATTTCCTCTTTCCATATCAGAAAACTCCAGCTCTCTAGCTTTCACAATTCAAAAGTTATTCTAAAAATGACAACCCAAGAGCGTAAAAACGGGTAAAAAGACGGAGTCCGAAAACTAAAAAAACGGCCCGTAATATTTCTCATTGGACGGGTCCGCCCCCCATTTGCCACGGGGTGACGGGGTCTGAACGGTTCAAAAATACGGGTATCCCGTATAACTACACGTTCTGCATCGAAGAAACATGGGGTCATGAAAAATGATTTCTTATACCTTCGAAGCGTCGTGTGGTTACCTGTTCTACTCTTAGACGCCCTGACATGTAAAATTAACTTTTGTGTATGTTCCACCCTAGGCAGTCATTTTCTGCTCGAAAAACACGTACACCATTTTTTGTGGCAGAAACGCGTTAAATTTTTAAATTTGAAAAAATTTAAAAATTAAATTCAAAATCGAGCTGACGTATACAGAGAGTCTCCATGCTCTCACACGGCCGTCCACGACTGTCTTAAAGTCCAGGTTCACAAGTTAAGGAAGAAAGAAACTAAAACAACTTACTCTGTTGTAATGATGATACGAACACGAGTACCTAGAATTAAGAAGCAAGTATAGAACGGATTGAGCTAAAGATGCTCGAAAGATGACCTGTATCATCTGTAATTGTTTTGAGCATTGATAGCTTATTGAAGAAGACTTATTCTTTCCTGTTTGCTTGCTTTTTAATTCTAGGACCCGAGCAACTGCTTATTATTCTTGTCTGCAGAGATCTTTCATTTTGCTCTGAGTAAAATAGCTTTTTATTTCCAGTGATAGTGACTGGAAGGCTCGAATGAAAGTAATTTCTGAGTTTCGTTGTTCTATCACCTGTAGGTTCAGTTCCACTATCACCTATAGATTCAGTTCCAAAATTGAAGAACGTCTACGAAACTTCGCACTCAGTTGAGTTTCTATTATTTGACGTTGTTCAAGTTTCGTATTGATACAGATTCATTTTTTCAAACTTTTCATCCAAGAGCTATTTATTATCCATATTTTGTATTTGAATGTTATTGTTGAGAGCAACACCTGAATCTGAGTAAGTTTTCCGTGTGAATCACTGTGTCTTTGGTAAAAAGGCTTTGCATCTAATTCAGACCGAAAATGCATAGAAATTGAAACGTTTCATCTTACGACATTTCCGACTGTAGAACATACACAAAAGTTAATTTTGCATCCCAAGACATCCAAGAGTAGAACAGTTAAAGACGCGGCGCTTCGAAGGTATAAGAAATCATTTTTCATGACCCCGTATTTCTTCGATGCAGAACGCGTCGTGATACGGGGTGTAAGTGAACGGCTAAAAGTACGCCCCGGACTCTTTCACAAGGGAACGGATAGAATGTAAATAAATCAGCCTCAGTACGGGGTCTGGACTCCGTATAAAGTTTTGATACGGGGTCAGAACGCCTGTTCTAAAAATTTTTTAAGCTCTTGGGAATGGATTATTCTTTTTTTAAACGGAGAATAGCAAACGTTAATCAAAT